CCAATTTTTTTGCTTACTTGGATCAACTCAAAATACTTAAAACATTTTACATTAAGTTCCTTTTTTCATGAACGACTGCATTTTCAAGCAAATCGATGATAGAAACTTCGGTACCGACCCATGTCATCAACAAAATCCAAGATGCCTGAAATGCAAACACCTCCTCATTTTCCTCTATAACCTGAACTGTCCCCATGCTTGAATGATAATCTCCTTTTAAAACTACGAAAAAGTTTCAACTTCATTGAGAATATTCCTGTACAGCAAAACTAACCTGGATAGCATTCGGCATAACCAGTTGGCTCTGCAGCAAGACGAGAGAGAAGTCCTGATTGTTTTCCACCCTCTTCTTTTGCTGCAACACCTCGCAGTATTTTCTTCCGCTCTTCTTGTCTATCAAGGTTCTGTTGTTGTAGCTTGTTCTCACGATCAGTGGAACTGAAGTAATTAGATGTTTTTCTCTTTCCTGATGATTCACTTTTGACAAGCGATGGATTGTAGTCACCAACCTCTGGGTATATATTCTCTTCAACCTGCCAAAAAAAAAAATTGAAAGGTCAAAAATGCTTTACTTACATTTAGCTGAGTTTCATAACAAGGAGAGAGGGAATGGCAGAAGCATATTAGCTAGGATGCGCAAATACTGGTTAACAATCAATCTTAATTGTTGTCCATTGCAATTCTTAGTCAACATCGAGTACCTATTTACCTCCCCTTGCATATTCAAAAACTTAGGATACCTTACTTACACAATGTTTATTTCCATGTAAAAATATACTTACTTCATGGATAAAATAAAAAAATTTTGCAGTGTAAGTAGATATGGACGTATTTGTAATACATCGAAAGTAAGCCATGTAAGTAAATATTATCACCTCCATGGTTAATTATGTCCTTAATTTTGGATGTCGCATGTTTCTTCATCAAATGTAAATACCGTTAAATAATATGAGGGGTGACTATTTTGCATCTTCCAAGAAGCAAATACACAAAGTGCTGTATTGTAGTAGAAGTATCTAAAAAATCAATGGAATAAAACCAAAGAACTACTGACCTGAGATTTTTCCTTCTTCTTAGATTTTTTCGAGTGCCGAGGTCCTTGTCTCAAGTAAGAAAGAATTTGCGCTAATTTATTGATGACGATATCATTGGTTGTAAGAGTTGGTTTTTCTTCTAGATTAGGAATATCCGCTTTACTTCTAATTAACGTCATAGGGATGTCTGTTGTAAGGAGGGTGGTATTTGGTTGTTGATAAGGATGAACTATGAGGGCTTCAGTGACACATATTTTATTTATACTATTTCAATTATTGGCTTCACATACACATATATATGAACAGGTCTAAGGTTTGAGAGCGGGCTATGAGATGGGGAGGGGGGGGGGTTCGGGTCTGAGCCGAGTTTGGTGTACGCGTCCGGGGCGTGATGGTAGTGCGGGTCTGTGCCGCGGAGGTTCGGGCCTTAGCCCTGGTGCTTACGGGTCGGGCCGATGACTGGGACTGGTTGGTCTTCCACGAATCTTGATCAAATACTGGTGCCCGGCCTATGCTCCGGCCACTATTTATAGTCGATCGCCGACTCCCCACCAGGCTGGTTTGCAGCTTTGCGATAGGGAACCGAGCGATCGAACTGCATCTAGCGGCCGAAGTCGGAATTGCGTCGAGCGGGCGCGTCAGCACGCCACGCGCACTGCTGAGTGCGAGTGCCGCGCCGCCACACCTTACGCACCTAACAAAATTGCGAAGCAATTTCAAAAGGCCGGACAACCAGCCAAGATGGAGGGTGAAAAAACGGGCGCTAACTATGGAAGCTGCCACGTGAACATTTGAAGTGGGTGCTAATGATGGGGGTGGGGGGGGGGGCTTCTTATAGCATAAGTCTAGCTAACTCATGGGCGCTGAATAGCGGCCGGCATGAGTAAGAGGCGCTAAAGGGTGGCTGCCTCATAAGAGAAAATTATGGTATATCTTAGGCTAGTTGGGCGCTCAGTGGTAGCTGCCTCAGGAAAAAAAAAATTACATTCTATCTTAAATTAGACGGGCGCTTAGTGGTAGCTGCCACGTGAGGAAAAATTAAGGTGTATCGTAAATTAGTTGGGCGCTTAATGGTAGCTGCCTCGGAAAAAATTACAGTCTATCCTAAAGTAGGAGGGCGCTTAGTGATAGCTGCCACACAAGGAAAAAATTACGGTGCATCTTAAATTAGTTGGGCGCTCAAAAGCAGCCTGCAAGGTTGAGGGGCGCTGAATACGAAGCTGATTCACAATAATAGTTATGAAATATAACTAAAATGTAGAGAATGGCGCACTTAAGGGTTGATGAAGGTGCGTAACGCTGTTTTTTGCGCTGTACGCGTTTTCCAGCTCTTCTGCTGGTCCGTGTGGGTCCAGTGAATCCTGTGTGGACTGGGATGGAAGCGGTCAGCGGGGTGGGGGTGTATGGTTGAATCCATGGTTCAGGGAGCGGTGTGGGTTGAAGCGATGGAAAATATTCAGGTTGGGCTGGAGAGTAGTGTAAAGGGCCTAGCAGGGAGGAGAGGGCATACAGAAATTGGGCTGATTGTGGGTAGTGACTTAGTGTGGGGAAGGAGGTCTGGAAGGGCGCGGCATAAAGAGGTAGGGGCTCTGGCTCTAGGGGCGCTGCCATTGAAGTACCTGGTGTTGCTGGTGATTCCGCTGTGGAGGGAGTAGCGGCGTGTTCCGGAATCGGGGGTGAGGAGAATGGCGGAGTCTTGGCCGGTGGAAGTTCATTGGAAGGTGGCGGAGGTGCGGTGACGGGCGAAGTAAGTGGAGATAGCAGGTCTGGTAGGTCCAAGCCTAGGTCCAGGAATAGCTCGGATGGTGATTTTCGCTTTTTCGGAATTTTCCATGTAGTTGCTGGTTTTCCAGGGGCTGGTGCCGGCGGTTTGGTGCTGGGAGTGTCCGTTGTGGCCTTGGGGGTATTCTTCTTAGGACGTGAGACCAAGGGTGCATTATTGCCTGTTCGGGTTTGTGAAGTCCGTGGTTTTGAGTGAGGGGTGCTTGACTGTTTGGAGCTAGGGGTGGATTTTGCGTGTGGAGGCTTGGCGCACTGAGTTGGTGGAATTTTAGAGGAAGAGTTATGTTTCACGGCGGGCGATTTAGACTTGAGTTCAGTAGGGGTGTCGGGTTTTCTGGGGCACTGGGGTGGTGGAATTGTAGGGTTAGAGACAAGTTTCACAGCGGGCGATGTAGGCTTGACCGCACTGGGGGTGTTGGATTTCGCGCGCGGAACTGCCGGGGGTGTAGAGGCGGAGAGGGGTTTCACAAGTTGCGATTTTGGCAGGAGGGTACTAGGAGTATTGGAGGTTTTGCACGGAGAGATGGGCTTCACGGTTGGTTTGGGAGCACTTGCACTAGGGGTGGGTACGACTGATGGGAGATGAGCACTGGGGGTTGAGGGGGCACTGGGGCCTGGGGTGATATTTTTGTTCCTTGGGTTTCTAGGGTCATCACTGGTGAACTGCACGTTAGGAGAAGGCACTGGGGGTGAACTTTCACTGATGGGAAGTAGCTGAGGTGTCCATGGTCTGATCGCTGTTCCTGCCATTTTCCTGCGATGTGCTTGGGTGACGGGCGGTTTTTTTTGTTCGGGGGCCGAGGTCCTGGCATCTTCAAAGGAAGTCAGGAGCGCGTCCATTGTGCGTTTGATATTGATCTCGACTGAGAAAAGGATGCACTTTTCGGCTGGGATGAGCTCAGGGCCTCTTAAGAAGATGCAATAATTTCTGGAGCTCTTGAGAGTGAAGTGCGCCACGCGCTGTGATTCTAGCGAGATTTGTACACTGGGAGGTCCAGCGTTCCTGCGGGAGTAGATGCATGCTGGGACTCTTCGAGGATTTCATCTTTTGTTCGTGAAGTCACATGGTGGTCGTGGATGAAGTAGTTCGCCAATGTGTCGCAAAACATGGCTAGCATTTTCCAAGAGAAGCCAAAAACAGAATAGAGCAGGTGTCCGAAGATGAGCGTGTCTAAGAGTATTTTAAGGAGCTTGAAAATGAATAAAATTCCGATGAAGCCAGATGCTATTGATCCAAACTCGTGAAAGGCTCCCCAGACTTTTCTTGTGGTGGTTTGGAATATTGTGTCAAGGGATTTTTCTGTTAGGAAATTTTCAAAGTGGAGTCTCCCATCTGACTGTGGGAGGCCCATTGCTTCTCTAGTAAGGGCGTTTTGCACTGCCCCGCTCTCAAGAGGGTAGGTTATTCGTCTTTGAAAGGCCTTGATATCTTCCAACGTGTAGATGCCTGCTTGAAAGAGGCTGTCTGGACTAGTGTATTTCCAATCTATTGCAAGTTGAGATGTGAGTTCAGTAGGTGGGTCTGCTGGCATGATGCGGGGGGTGAAACTACGCCAGCGCCCGTTGATTTCAAATTTGACCGGCATGTTTGGGCTACAGTCTACTTCTGTGCCTTTTGATGTGAGGATTCGTGTTCTGGGGATCAGAAATTTTGTCTCGTTTTTGTAGTATACTGGAATTTCATTGTAACAGGAATCTGTTTGCCGTAAGGTGACTGGAACGGCTAGACATTGGAGGAGATAGGCGACTTCGCCCATGGTGATAGTCATGTAACCTGGGCCTCCTCCTCTAATCCAAGCAAAATCATCTCCGTGGTGTATGGCAAGCGTTAAGTGATGCTCTAGAATTTGACGTTCTAGTTGGCAAGCTGCTGACCGCAGCTGGGTGTATAAGTGAGAGAGAGAGGATTTGATGTGTCTATCGAGAAACACGAATTTCACATTGAAATAGGTCAATATGTCTGCAGTGACATTTTTGGAATTTTTGTAGAAAGGAAATTCATATTCTGTTTTTGGAAGGACGAAAAATCTGGAGTGTTCTGTCTGAAATGCTTCGTGATGACAGATTCTAGTTCTTTTTATGGCAGTCAGACTAAAAGCCACATCATTTTCATTCACCAGGTAAGAAATAGGATATGCGGCAGTGGAGTCATTGAAGTGGGTTGCTGGTCCTTCATACAAGACTGTGTAGTGCTTTGCATCGCATTTGTCCTGTATTTCCGGTTCCCAAAATGTGTATCCTCTGTCTGGATCAAAACATTTTCCTGCAGAATATACACATTTCACTCCTGTTTTGAGATAAATTTCGTTTAAAGTTGGGTTGAATATGGCCTCCGAGTCATAGAGGGTGAATTTTATTGTTGCCTGTACTACTACGTCATCGTAGTTATAAGTGCCGTCAGAGTAGCTTCCTCCGGTGCATCCTCCTTTGGGTTTAATTTCACCCGCTAGTAGGGTGGTTCTGATGGTTTCTCCATTTATGGTTAAGTCAACCATTTTTCCGTAGTCCGTGGCTGCTCTGTCTTTGATCAAACTGTGGCATTGACTCATTGTAAGGTCCGGATAATATGTGCGTAGGGAGTTTGGCACTGATTGCAGGTCACCCCACATTGAACAACGGTGTGCTATTCGGAGTATTTCTATTTTGCAAGAAATTACTCTGATTGGCATCTCTTCATTTTGTTGAACCACTTGAATGATTGCTGTGGTGTTGGTAGTTGTTTCAATAGATCCATTGCATTCCTTGATGTTTTTCAGTGATATTTCTGTTTGCCGAATGGGTTGGGATACGCAGTCGAATCCCGTGAGTGACGCTGGCTCTAATGCAAGAGTCACTTGCGTGAGTGCCAGGAGCGTGCAGCGGAAGAGTGAGATCATTTTTTCTGGTCCTAGAGCGGTGGAAGGAAATTTTGGTGAGTGGTTTGCTCTCGCGGTAAATATGTGTCAGTGGAGCCCTCAATGCATCGGGAGGAAGGTTCGTGGTTCAGGAGGGGGATGNNTTCGAGCGTCGGGATGTGAGGGACGGATGATCGAGGCTGCCGCGCTGGGTGCTTGTGCCGCTGGGGTCGTAAATCTTAGCGAAGAGGCCGGTGATTTTTCGGGGCATAGTTGCCAAGTTTTGTAGTGCTACGTCTTAAGTTTAGTACGTATATTAATTCCTTATAAGTATTCTTAACTATTTACATTTTGAAACACAGCGTGTAGGCCGTTTTTGACACTTATCAGGCTGGTTCAAGTTCCGTTTCCTCGTCCTCAGATTCTAACAGCGTATCTGGGTCGTAGAGGTCTGAGTGCGGGATTTCTTCAGGTTCATTCTGCTCGCTGAGTGTTTTGCGGTATAGAAGCGGGTCAAAATATCTCTTTAGTTTTTCTACGTGTACCTGCTCGGTTTTTGAACTGGGATCGAAATAATTGGCTCTGATCACATAGATTGATGGAGTTTTTCGCGCTACTATGAAGAAGGGTCCAAAGAACTTTGGGAGTAGTTTTGATGATTCATTTTTCTTCTTGACTGGTTTCTGGATGAGAACTTTTTCACCAATATGGAAGTGCACGGCTTTGCGTTTTATGTTGAGTTTTTCCTTCATTTTCTTTCGTGCTTCTGAGATACGAGTCATGGCGTCGTTTCGGACTTTGTCCAATATTTCCAGTCTTTCCATATTGACTTCATGAGTAGTTGCGCTTCGGAGTTCTAAGGCTGGCATTAGGCGGGGATGTGTGCCGAACAATAAGAAGTGGGGTGTAACTTTTGTTGTTGAGTGAGGTGTTATGTTGTAGGCTGCTGTCATTGGCACTATGTATTTGGACCATGTTTTAGGGTTTTCGCTCACATAGGATCTTAAAATTTCACCTTGTGTTCTAAAGTTCCTTTCTACTAGAGATTGTACTCTGGGCATGTAAAAAGGACTTAGACGGTGTTCTATGTTGAGATTGGTCAGTAATTCTTTGAGACCACTTTCTATGAGACCAGGACCGTTATCCGACTTTAGTGTCGCAGGAAATCCGAAAATTGCGAAACAATCTAAGAAAAATTTCGCGATTTCAGAACCTGTCGCTGATGAGGCTGGTCTAGCGTACCAAAACTTTGTGTAGGAGTCCACTAGTGAAAAGACGTATTTCTTCTGATTTGAAGGGTTGTATGGACCTGAGATATCGAAAAATACTTTATAAAATGGTATCGGAACGATGTTGGTTGGCTGTAGGAGTCCTTTAGGAGTTACAGTTAAGTGCTTGGCTCGCTGGCAGTTGTCACACGACTTGCAGTAGTTTTTGCAGTCCCTCCATTTGTGGGGCCAGTCATAATTGTTTAGTTTACTCAGAGTCCTGTGAAATCCTGAGTGGGCCCCTGCGAAGGGTGAGTCGTGGACAGTTTTGAGCCATAATTTTCGCATATTTCGAGGTATCATTAGTAGTAATTGTTGTGGATCAGTGGTCGATTTGCGGTAAAGCAATCCGTTGCTTAAAGTGTAGTTTTTGGCTTTTATTAGTGAGTCTCTCGATGCATTCTTAGGGTCTTCAATTGCTGCAATAATGTCTGCATACCATTCATCTGCGCGTTGGAATTCTTGAAATTTGTGGGTATCAATTTGTGCTTGTTCGAGTGGAATTATTGCTGTTTTAGGCTTGTCGATTGTGATGGTTGCTACGAAGGGAAAAGTTTCTTCGGTCATGGTTGCCTTGTCTTGAGTTAGTTCTTCTACATTCTCTGGATCATCGTGTTCATATGCGCGAGATAATAGATCTGCCGTGTTTTGGCTGCCTTTCCTGTATTGAATGGTGTAAGATTGGTCCGAAATTTGGAGCAAAAATTTTGAAAGTGTGCTATTCAAATTTTTACCCTTTGATATGTATATCAGCGGTCTATGGTCAGTGCGAATGGTGACGTGTTTAGCAAAACGAAAGGAACGATACTTCTTTATGAAATAACTGACAGCAAACATTTCTTTTTCACTTACTGACATCCTGTGACTCTGTTGTTCTGTCAGCTTTTTACTGCCGTAGGCAATTGGTTTGATGAGTCCCTCCGGCGTTTTGACGCATAGGATACCTCCTATTCCATTATTCGAGGCGTCAACGTCAAGGATTAGGTCAAGTTTCTCGTCATAATGTGCCAAAATGGGCGCTTCGCAGAGCATCTTCTTGGATTCAGTAAAGGCCTTTTCTTGGGCTTCGCCCCATGTGAACTTGGCTGAGGGTTTTGCTACTTCGTAAAGAGGTGCCATTACGGTTGATAAGTTTTTCGCAAAGTTTCGAAAGTAATTAGCAAAGCCAAGCCATTGTCTTGTTTGTTTCTTTGTTTTAGGACGTTGATAAGCTTTGATGGCTGCAATTTTTTCAGGGTCAATTTCCATTCCTTCTGGTGTTATGCGAAAGCCAAATATTATGGCTTCATTGTGGCAAAATGTGGTTTTTCGGGGATTTATTTTGAGGTTTTTCTCGCGGCAACGTTGGAACACTTTTTCTAGTGTTTTGAGGTGCTTTTCCCAAGTACTGGAGCTTAGATTAATATCATCCACATAACATGAAACATCTGAAATGTCACTGAAAGTTGAATGGATTAGAGACTGAGCTATGGAGCTTCCTGCGTGAACCCCATTAGGTAGGCATCTGAATGAGTAATGGCCGGAATGAGTTGAAAATGAGAGACACTCAGAGGTTTCGGGATGTAGTGGAATTTGATTGAAGAATTTGGTCAAATCAATACTGGTGAACCATTTTTTGTTTGCATATCCACTTAAAATGTCGTGAATTTTGGGTAGTTCAAAGTGTAAGAGTCCAAGGCATTCATTTTGCTTTCTGAAATTTACTGCTACCCTGTACTCTGTGGGGTCTGTTATTCCTTGTTTTTTGTCGAAAACTGTCAATTTCTTTTTGACTAGTATGAGTGGAGCTCCCCAGAGACTGTTGCTGGGAAAGACTGCATTAGATTTCAGGAGTTCGTCGACATGGACGTCGATTATGTCTCGTTCTTTTTGTGATACCCTGTATGGTGGTGTATAGCAAGGGGTATTCTTCAGAAGAGGGATTCGTTGAAGTGGAAAGTTGGCTTCTGCTGCTCTAAATGTTCTTTTGTCGAAGGTGAATATGTCTTGGTAGTCCAAAATGAGTTTAAAAATTTCCTTTTCTTGTTTTTCCGTCAAAACCTCATTTACTAGGCAATCGTGCGGCGTCATAGTCGGTGTGTTTTGAGCACTATGAGGGTTTTGTGAGGGAGTATTGAGATGAACGCTGGCTATCAATGGCGGCTGGAATTCTGCTAACTTGGTTCCTGGATGGAGTGTGAGCATTGTGTTCGTAGGATTTTTGATTCCGATGTAAAAGGTTGTTGCCGGATTTATTGGGGTGTTCACTGCTAGTTGCAGTCCTTTTTTCATTAAGGAATGAGAGAATAGCAACATGCGTGGTTCTGAAGTGGGTCTCGTGGTCCAAGTTACTGGCACCATTTTTGATGAGTGTGGAGTGAGAAAAGTGAGATGAAGAGCCTTAGCCCATGTTGTTGCCAAGTCGTCATCGATTATGGGATATTCAGCGAATGTGTCCGGATATTCTTGTAAGTTTTGATTATGCTCCGGGGTTTCTGCATTAGGTGTGTTGGTGACCGTGGTGGTGAGGTACTTGCTGTTGTCAATTTCGAATGATTCTGGCATGACGTTGCCAGATTGTATTGTTTTGGCGATGGGACATATTGATCCCCGAATGGTTACTTTGAAAGGCTCATTGTTTTCTGGGTTCATCATGATGGCATAATTTTCTTGGTGGTTAAAGCTAGTGACATATTTGTAAATAAAGTCGTTTCCCAATATCATGGGTACGCTCAGTTTATTTGTCACTAGAAGGCGGTAAGAGAAGGTTGCTGGTCCAATTTGAAATTTCAGTGGTATTGTGCCTGAAATTTCTAAGGGACTCTGGTTTGCTGTGATTAGAGGTATTCCTCTGATTCCTTCAATTTTGTGTGGATTTATTTGGTCTTTGCGGATGAGGGAAACATCTGCCCCTGTGTCAAACATTCCAAGGATTTCTTTGTTTGGCAAGGTCACTGAAATCCTTAAACCTGGTTCCGTGGGGTTTTGAGGCTTTTGAATGCCATTTTCGAGTGTTGATGATATTGAGAGTGAAGGTGGTTCCGCAAAGGAGATTTGCCGTGCCTTTTGTTTCGATACATTTGCTGTTTCTTCGGTGATTTTTTGCTTTGTGGGCCTTAGTTCCCTGTCTACCCAATTGTAAGGCCCTTTTGGCAAGTGGGTAGGTTCTAGTTTGGGTGAGGCGTTGGTGGTCGGGGGGAGGGACATTGTATGCTGTAGTGATTAAAGCCCCTGCAGTTCCAGCAGATGATTCTTTCTCTGGATGGTGATCTGGTTGTTTGTTGATTAGTGTCTCTTTGATCAGTGTTTTGCCTCTCCTGGGAGCGATTCCTGTAGTAGTTTGGTGCCTCCCTGGATCCTTCGAGCGAGCGGTCTCTGTTGAAATTATTCCATCTGCGATTTTCAGTGCTGCGTTCTCTGGGGCGGTCTCTCCTGTCGTAAGAAGGTGATCTTGACGGTGCTGAATGTTGATTTCTTCGATTTGATGAGTAAGGAGAGTTTCCACGATTTTCACGATTTCTGTATGGTGAGTAATTTCTGCTCGATCTGTCATCCCTGGACGGAGAACGAGGATAGCTGGTGTTTCGGTCGCCTGATCGTCTGTTAGTGTTTTCGGGTTTATCAGGTCGGCGGGGTGAGGGAGTGCTGTATCGGCGTCCTCTTTCCGGTGTATATTCTTCGGTGCGTCTTGAGGGTCTGGATGCAAAATATTGGTCCAGGACTGCATTGATAGGCAAGGCGTTGCCTTGTTGAGCCAGGGAATTCGTCAGATTTTTTAGGTGGTCTTGCACGCTC